ATGAATTCAGCGTTGCCACTTATTTAAAAAACGGAAACAATTTCACTAAATATTTGAAATAGTTTGCAAGAGTGCGATGATGCTGTTAAAGTGAACTAGTGAGTATGAGTTTACCTGTTCACCATAATGACATTTAATGTCCCTAACCACCTCTGCACTCCCATTTAGCCACTTAGCAACCACGTGTTTCAAAACAAGTAAAAGCTTTAAAAAAATCACAAGGCAGTATTACTGACATATTTTGTGTATAAAAAAATATCTCGAGCTTGTGTTTAAAGGGGTCATATGATGTTGCTAAAAAGAACATTATTTTGTGTATTTGGTGTAATGAAATGTGTTTATGCGTTTTAAGGTTCAAAAAACATTATTTTCCACATACTGTACATTATTGTTTCTCCCATATGCCCCGCCTTTCTGAAACGCGTCGATTTTTACAAAGCTCATCGGTCTGAAAAAGCGAGGTGTGCTGTGATTGGCCAGCTATCCAGTGCGTTGTGATTGGCCGAATACCTCAAGTGTGCGACGGAAATGTTACATCCCTTACCATACTGTGATGCCGTGTCCCGTCCGGAGCGACGAGACAAAAACATTAGAAGTTGCTGCCGACTTTATTTCAGTGTAGTGACGCATTTCCAGTTGAAACTGAATATTGAATAGAGGGCATGGTTTCATGTTTGCGCTCCTCCTCTCTGTCTCTCACTCATAGCAATCTAACGGTTGGAGGGGGGTGTTTAAGGATATGCTGCCCAAGCCGTAAAATTGATGTCATCAGAAAAGGAATGCCATTCCAGAGTGGAAGTAAATGTTCAGATTTTGATTAAAGATTACGAAGACAAACAACGGATTTTTTTCAGCGGATTAACTTGCACGGATTAATTGTTTACAGCAAGACTAGCAATGTGCGCTGGTAAAGTAAATAAAGTCAATTTTGATTTCATGCGGACCATTATAAACGAGGTATTTGTTGCATCAAGTGGGGACATAATTACGGATTATAATGACTTATACTGTCTTTTTACGCGTTGCATTGCACCGCGCCACGTAAACATGAAGCCATGTCTGCATTTGTGATCGGAGAAATTACAAACTACAAACGCTACTCTACACTGTTTAAAACTCGCGTTTGAATCGTCAGTGGCAAATTCTTTAAATATAAAAAAACTTACTTACAGTTTGTGAGTCAGAACAGCCGGCATTGTAGTCTACTCTCCCAGGATCAGGAAACAGTCCTCCATAAAATGTGCTGCACACATCTGAATATTTGGGTTGAACTGTTCTGGAACAGTGTTGTAAATACAACTTAACCACTGATTTCTAGTCGTGTCCTCTTTTGGAAGACCAAACAAAGTAGTTTCGCTTTCACAATGAAACACAGCATCACACACGGTGAGCTTGAGTGAGCGGCGGCCGGTGGGCTTGCGGCAACCACAGGCTTCGTCCACGGTGAAAGCCGATCCGTCGATCCACAGTGCAAAGTTGATGCATTTTCTCAGCGACCAGCACGGTTCAGCTCTAGGCATGACGAAGCGGGTATCGTCCTCTTTTGGAAGGCCAAACAAAGTAGTTTCGCTTTCACAACGAAACACAGCGCCTTCACGACATGGTGGCAGCAACAATACTACAGCGAGAATAAAAGTTACGCCTTCTTTCTTTGCGTGAACATTTGGGCAGCGTTATGCAAATCTTCCCACATAGTGACGTAGACATGTTAGAACTAGCCGTTTTAGGTAGGCGTGGCTGACTCTTAACTTTTATAAAGAATATCTCTTTGGATTTGAGACTTTAGTCTTTGCAACTTTACAGATCTTCTTTATGCATCCCAAAACCCATATTAAAAAAAAAAACTCACTGACTTCAGTGCGATGGAACTGGAAGTGCTAAAATGCTAACTTGTTTCCAGGTTTTGGCCTACAAAAAAACATCCCTGCAGAACTATATGATTGTGTTTATCAGATTACAGTTACATATAACAAAATAGATATAAAAACTAAACTCTAACTACCACAACTATTCTAAAACTAATTACAGCTAATTAGTTTTTAAATGTAACAAAAATTTAATGTATTTGAAATTCCACAACTATACAGTTTCTGACCAAACCTAAAAATGACATACTTGAACTAAAAGGCTTGAATTTCACAAGCTCTTTGGATTACAGGTGCAACTGCGGTTTCTTTTGAAAGAAGACACTCGGAATGGCTTCGGATTTCATTTCAGATTCTATCTGAAGTCGAATATAATCAAAAGGAACCAAACAGACCAGCATAATGCTAATTACGCCCCTTTCCCTGACATTTCGCTTTACTCCCCATGATAATCCATTCTCCCAGAACTTTGTTACCCATCACGAAGATATCCTGCTGCCTCCATCAAAAACGCCCGCATTTCAAGACTACCAATTTAAATCAGAGAGAAAGGGGCCTCTCACTTCAATAAGCAGGATTCAAAAAGGCACTGTCTTTCTACTCTGGCTTGTCTAAGGGCCAGATGGAAGGAAAAGCCTGTGGATAAGAATGCTGGATGAGGGCTGGGTCCTTCACACTAGGATGCGGAGGGAGGTATAGAGGCCTGTCTAATTGCCTGTCTCAAAGAGCTGGCTGGCAGAGGATTTATTCAGGCTTAATAGAGCCTGCCCGTTTCACTGTGGGCGCACGTGTCAGCTTGCGAATGTCACTCAAAGATGCCGAGTGCAGGAACCGGAGGGAGTGGTTGTGTGTGTTCTCATTCAGGCACACAGGCTGTTAGCTATTCAGCTAGCATGGTCGCCACTCACGGCTCTTACTGAAGAAATACGTTCAGAATTGAGCAAAGGAGAAGGAGGGGGGAAAGGGTGCTGCTACAAATGTTTCTGCTTGTCATTGGCTGCTTTACACAAACATTAGAGACAAAATGAGATTCTTCTTTTTAAGGGACGGAGCCTGTTTTGCTCATTAAAGATCAAACGCACTCAGACCAGCTCATTTTGATTTAATTAACTGGAATCGATTCAATTAAGATTAAGGCTTGCTTTTGGGCCATTAAAATAAAATGTAAATGCAAAAGAAAATCTACTGATTGTGGGCAGCTTTGTAATTTAGTTCGAAGTTTTTAATTAATACATACATTTGTGTCTGTGGCAGCAAACACAATTACCATTACATTGAATAATAACAAGAAAAATAGAGTGTAGCATGCATATTACTAGCATATTGGCTGTTTATAAGTACTTAAAGCGTATCTTGCTTTTTTTTTTTTTTGCATGGCCATGTTCTAGATCCCTTAACCCTACATTATTAGCCTACCTAAATTTAACACCTTACTAAAAAATTAAGAAACAGCAAATTAGGAGTTTAGTAGTTAACAGTGAATACGTGTTCCCTGGAGTGAGAGAGAGTAAACACACACACACGTTAGTATTGGTGGTTTACGGGGACTTTCCATAGGCGTAATTGTTTTTATACTGTACAAACTGTGTTTTCTATCTCCCTACACCAAACCTACACCTAAAGCTACCCCTCACAAAAAACTTTGTGCATTTTTAGATTTTCAAAAAAACACAATTTAGTATGTTTTTTAAGCCTTTTGAATTACGGGGAACCATAGGCAGACAGTGCCCTCATGAACCACCTTCACATTGTAATACCTCTGTCATACACATGTCATTACACAAATTTGTGTCCCCATAAACCATCTAAAACAGTGCACATAGACTCAAGACAAGTCAAGATTTTTTTTTTTAATTAGTCATTTTTTTTTAATATAACTAATATTTTGAAATATTTCCGTTAAAAAATGCTTTCTACTTTAATATATTTTACAGTGTAATTTATCACAGTGTATTTATGAAACAGCTGAATTTTCAGCAGCCATTACTCCAGTCTTCAGTGTCCCGTGATCCTTCAGAAATCATTCCAATAATCCTGATTTGGAGCTCAAACACATTTCGTACTATCAATGGATGATATATTTCGTCAGGATTCTTTGAGGAAAAAAACTGTAAAAGAAATAGAAATTGAAATATTTTGCAACATTATGAACATTGTCTATACTGTCACTCCTGAACAATATAATGCATACATGATAGTATATACGTTTGAAGTAACGTTAGTATATGTAGGGGATAATCAACGGCTAGCCGTGCATTAAAGGATTTTAAATGCACGACTTGGAGGCAAAGAACCGCCCGACGCGAAGGACGGCTAGCCGTTTAATGCACGGCTAGCCTTTGATTATCCGCTTATTCCATGGTCATTTGCCAAGTTATAGACACGTTAAACTAGTATTGCTCTTTGCAGCGCAATATTTGACCGAATAGGTAAAAATGACAGTTATTTTCGTCAGTTACGGCACGTTAGCTGTAGCATTCTGCCCGCTTCAAATCATACACAGAGATGAAATAGTGCGGTAAGATCACATTTATTTGAACGAATTATAGCATGTATAATAGTAAAACCTAAAACCAAAATGCGTTCTTGTCTTAGAACTACTTTGATGAACTTTTTTGATCCACTTAAAATGTTGACTATTATATATATATATATATATATATACACACACACACACACATACATGTATATATATATATATATATGTGTGTGTGTGTGCGCGCGTGCGTGTTCACCCTTAGAAGAGCAACGAAGTAATAGAATATCAGTAACTAGCAAACAAAATAATGCCAAACATGGACAATAGTGCCACCTATATAACGCTTATGCATTCTGAAGGATTAATCTAAGTTTTTATTAAAAATGTGTCTACTGTAAAAATAATGGCATACAAAATATTCCATGTGGTTTCAGAATGGCATTGGATAATGAGCAATATCATGTGAGTGTAGGTGTATGTGAAGTGTGTCTTGGCTAGTCGCTGTGCCTCTGTCAACACCATATGCTGTGTGTCTGACAGATATCCTACCGTATCAGCATTGGTGCAATGACTCCATTTCACATCAAACAAAGAAACATAAATGTATGGTTACTTTCTCTAAAAGAATTCTCAACCAATAAATCATCACACTTGCACATGTTTTCAGTATTTTACTCAGGATATTTCAGTAATTTCACACACATCACGACATTCAGAGACGCTACAGAAATAATCTTGATGTGATGACGACAGACATCCTCTTGTACTTGTCAACGTATGGATTACAGCTGTACAGGCCACTTACACTATAGAGCTCTAAGAAATCCTTAAATGCTGGATTTGTAAAATTTGACAGTATATATATATATGCAGAAAATAATTTGATATTTGGAACATTATTTACATTTAATGATCAAAAACGTCCTATTGATGGTCCCCTTTTATTTTGTATACTATATACTGATGTTTGTTGTATGTTGCATTTGGGTACCGTAATTCTTATCTCTGTTACTCTCAGGAAAACTTAGAAAAATACGACCTTAGATGGAGTAACAAGAGTGTTATATCAGTGAATAATGCCAGTAAGGAAGGACAACGGCTGAACTGAATGATGAAGGCTGTCACTTTTTAAATGTCTCAGTAACAAAATCCTCTGAATACCTGTAACATCCAATATAAAAACACAAGTCATTCATCTCAAGAAATGAAGGCAGAATGAATTAAGATTTTAAGTGTACTAAAAAAACAAGTCAAATCTGAAATCACATGGATGTACATTCTTAATTTTGAGTTTAAAAGATTAAGGAAAGGATACTATTAATTTGAGCTCATTGTATGGATACTGGTCCAAAGTAGGCCCAAAAGGAGAGGCAAAGGTGAATTTAAATAGTTTTGAAGGGATGCCTTCATTTCTTATACCTACTGACAGTTTTTTCAAAGTCATGGTTATATTGCCTCCTGCTTGGAAAACAGCTCTATTTCCTCTTAGCGTTCACACTCTTGCAGACCCAGTTCATACCATCCTGAAACAACATTTGAGTCAGAAAGTCCAAATACTGTTTTGAAGTCAAATTTGACAAACAACAAAATGTAGTCCAAACCAACCTGGACTCCTTCTCCTGTGAGGGCAGAACAGGACTGGATCTGCCACACTCGGTCTCTGATAGTGTGCAAATTCAAACCCTCAGCTATCTCGGACGCGGGGGCTGCCGTGAGCAGGTCCTGCTTATTTGCAAACACTAGAACCGGGACACCACTGAGCTTTTCTTCGTCAAGTAACTCAGCTAGCTCCTGCATGCAGATCAATTCACTTATTTAAACACTGAAAGCATAAATTGCTTGGAATAGTGAAGAAAGAATAGCGACCTGTCCGGTTTCCTCAAATCTTTTGCGGTCTGCACTATCAATAACGTAAATCTGAAATCAAAAAGAGTGTCCAATTAACAACATGTTTGGAATCAAAGTGGATTATGGGATGACTTTTAATCGGACAAATGATCTTACCAGTACATCTGTGTTCTCAAAGTAGTTCCTCCAGTAAGGTCTAATCTTTCGCTGACCACCGATATCCCACACGTTTAATTTGAATCCTTGCGACTGGACGCTCTTGATATTGAAACCCTACAGAGAAAGAAAAAGAGTTATTAAACTTGCTTTGGTAATAAAATGCAGCTGATCCAGTAAATGACTCTGCACATGCATTAACTCTAATTGGCTTTATGTAACCACAGGGTGACCATATGCCTCTTTTTCCCCAGACATGTCCTGGCCAAGACATCTAAATCGCCTAAAATGTCAGGGATTTGGTGTTGTTTTCCTATTGAGATGCTCTCTAGTCCTCATAGTCCTGCTTATTTGCAAACACTAGAACCGGGACACCACTGAGCTTTTCTTCGTCAAGTAACTCAGCTAGCTCCTGCATGCAGATCAATTCACTTATTTAAACACTGAAAGCATAAATTGCTTGGAATAGTGAAGAAAGAATAGCGACCTGTCCGGTTTCCTCAAATCTTTTGCGGTCTGCACTATCAATAACGTAAATCTGAAATCAAAAAGAGTGTCCAATTAACAACATGTTTGGAATCAAAGTGGATTATGGGATGACTTTTAATCGGACAAATGATCTTACCAGTACATCTGTGTTCTCAAAGTAGTTCCTCCAGTAAGGTCTAATCTTTCGCTGACCACCGATATCCCACACGTTTAATTTGAATCCTTGCGACTGGACGCTCTTGATATTGAAACCCTACAGAGAAAGAAAAAGAGTTATTAAACTTGCTTTGGTAATAAAATGCAGCTGATCCAGTAAATGACTCTGCACATGCATTAACTCTAATTGGCTTTATGTAACCACAGGGTGACCATATGCCTCTTTTTCCCCAGACATGTCCTGGCCAAGACATCTAAATCGCCTACAATGTCTGGGATTTGGTGTTGTTTTCCTATTGAGGATTTGGTGTTGTTTTCCTATTGAGATGCTCTCTAGTCCTCATACATTATATAAATGCTATTTTCATTAGTTTGACCGCAAGCCACGATTGGACGATTATGTACAATGCCTGCACACGATTGGTCAATTCACTTTTCAGTCAGGTATGAAAACAACGCGAAAAAAAGCCAAACCCAGGACATTTTAGAATTTAGAAATCCCAGCCAGGACATGTCCGGGAAAAAGAGTACTTATGGTCACCCTAAGTAAGTATATCACCTGTGTTGGAGTAATATGAGTGATGTCTTCAGATGCCAGCTGTTTCAGTAAGGTGGTCTTGCCACCATTGTCCAACCCCAGAAGCAATATCCGCACCTCCTGGTCGGGGGTACTTTTGAGTTTCCGTAAAATTGATAACAAACCCTGAAAACCAAGTAAAAAGATTATACAATGCTCTGAGTTTATGCAATGCACGCAGCATGACCTCATAAGAACGAGCATCAACAAACAAACAGGTTTCAAGAGTAGCGATGAATGTTCAAGGGACGTGCAATTAAAGAAAATAGATCTTTATATAGTTTCCCCTATAAAACAGGCATAAAAAGAGACTTAAGATCCTCGATTCTCGAACAGTCGTGACACCTAAACAGTCCTGCAAGCTAACGTTAATCTCATCCACGGCCGAGAACCGCTGCTCATCTTTAATACCACTTGATTAACGTTACAACAAATCCACAATTCTCCTCAGACATCATAGCTAACAGGACTCAGTTTTACAATGTGACGGAGACGAGAATGTTGAATCTCAAACAAAAAGCGTATACAGGTAAGAATATGTTTATTGTAAGCGCTTTAACTCACCATCTTGTGATTCTGCCTCCTGAGCTCCTGAGACGCCGCTGAGGGTTACTAAGGGGAAGAGGGGATGACGTAGTACGCAAAAAATACGTGTGACGTAGTACACAGAAAACATTTAGCTCTGCTAATGATAGCTTTAATGTTATAATGAATTATACTAAGCCTACCGATTTCAGTGATGTTTATATTATCACCTGCTGAGGTGATTTTATCCTCAACAGGTTAACAGTTTATGTTTCTGTGCACACAGATCAAATAGGATATGTGGAACTGGAAGAGCATTTCATAATAAATATTCTTTAATTTTGTGTATAATGTGTAATATATTATACATTAAATGTAGATGTATCAGAACAAATCGGTTGATTAGTAAAATAATAAAAGCCACATGTTACAAATACTTCAGAAAATCACGAATGTAACCCAAATATTAGGGGTCTTAATACATGTCTGTATAAAAATATCAAATAAATTATTTGTTTCATAGAAAATAAATATATTCAATCAATAGTGTTCCATTTTTAAAAGGATACCATTTCTGTTGAACCTCATCATAACGCCGCTCTGAACGATCCGTTCACGAATTGTACTGAATCGTTCCGAGCAGTTCGCGAGTCAGCACCACTGAACTGAACCACTGAATTTGCATACTAGTAACAAGCATTCTACTGTTACCATTCCTGCCACATTCATTTAAATATATGGCAGAAAAGGTAAGCGTAGTAAGCTCGTCCGAATTCAGCTAACGACTCGAACCGAGAGTCGTCCCTTTCCGACAACATTTGGAGTGAACAGTGCTTTTAAATGCCTTTTTGTTTTTTTATGAGCTGAATCGGCTGCAACACACTGAACTGGGACTTGTCAACTATGTTTAATTGAAAACACTTTTTACAGCATGCGGTCATGTATGCCGGATGCCACAACAATAGCTGAATCAGTTGTTTTCGAATCGACTCTTTGAACTGTTCGAGAGAACCGATTTGCGGAAATGCGGAAATATGGGCTTCGTTCAGCCCCGACAAAAACGGTGCAAAACGTGTTTCTAACGGAAACGGTGGTGCATTGAACACCCTGTTCTGATGACGCAAGAGTTGCAACTATGGCAGCTGAGAAGGCCATTCTTTGTGTTCTTTTTGAAGAATTTTCGGAGCCTGATGAAATCGGTATAAATACGTTTTTAATACTGCAAAATACGCTCGATGTTACAGTCACTAACTTTGCCGTCCAGAATAAAGAGAACATCCCAATCGAGTGAAGGGATTTGTGGAAACTGTGGTTCCTAATTATTGTGATCCAACATTTGCCTCCCATTTCAGGATGAAAAGACAAACATTTCAGGTGAAGGATAATCCACTTCTTACCTCCGAGACTGTGTTATGATCTATATGACATTATTATTTTTATTGTGAGGTACACACCGGTTTGAGCTTGAACTTGCCCCTGGTTTCCAATCAGTGTAAGAGGAGGGAGATTCTTCTCTTCAGGGATTGGAAGGTAGAATGCCACGTGCTCGTCTACAGTTGCAAGCCCACATCATCAAAGTGCTTAACCCACTTCATTTTTTTTACTACCACTACTACTGTAGCGCCACGAGATATAAACAGGAGTGTCACGTCACTTTATAAAGGTATTTTCATGCGACACATTTGATATTTGTGGTTTTGTCAGATTTGTTTTGACAGCGCACATCCGGGTGCTTGTGTACAGTGAACATGAACTGATGCAAGCTGCTGGGCAACTTACAGTCTTTCTGATACAGTCCTCAATTAGCTGCTACTTTGTATAATGTAATTTCAGGCATTGTTAGTTTTATGAAAATTCATGCTTAATGTTTAAGAAATCTTGACGTTTTAATAGCGAACGCATACTTTGTTATCCCACTTAAGAAATTACATGTCGAGGTCTGTTTCCTTAAACTTCTTGGTAACATACCTAGTTGCTATAGTTACCTGTACATATTTGTATTAGTTTCATGATATTTTATTTTAATCACAGTATATGTTTTACACGTTTTCTGTTAAACTTCCAGTAAATCAGGTTAAACCGGTAAGGAAACAAATGAACAAAATGGTCTTGACAAGTTGGGACCCATTGAAAGTCATTCTTTGTTTGCTTGTTTTGTGTATTGCCTTTTGTGTACTTGTGCATTCAGTTCCCTGCAGTAAATAGTGACATTACAAATGTCAAATCTTGTCCACCTTCACCTGCTTTGCACCTGCTTTTATATGCATTGCTTTCATTTTTATGAAAAAAATGTTTGTAAAACAATGCATTAAAAAGTAACACATGCAGACTGTAAAGTACACTTGATGTTGCAGTGTACTGATAGTTATAGTATCCTCTACAGTACATTTCTAAGCAATATTGTTTGAGAGAAATTACTTGTTAAGGATTTGTGGAAACTTTGTTGATTTTTAACTTAGAAGACTGAACTAAACTGGTTATAATTAGCTCAGACTCTCAGGAGTCCATTTCTCACTTTCACTAGTCAAGATTATTGGTCAAGGCCCTGGTCTGTTTTTTTTCCTGATATCCAAACATCTGTTTACACAGCTGGCCTCACTGTAAGAGCCTTGGTTTTGACTTTCTTATCATAGCATTTGGAAATACGCTGCTTTGTTAGATGAGAAACCAGTTAATAGTAAAATTACACTAATGAAGAGAGCAAATAAGCTCACATTTTCGTTTTAAGCACCTATTGGAATGACACCTTAAATAACAAAAATTCACCATTTGTGAATCAGAAATTGCATTTAGTTTGTGCCAAACATTCAGACTACTTTAGTCTCATCAGAATATGATTTTCATCCGAAATGTCACATTTGTTTTGTTCTGTGTCTTAGCATAATCTATTCTCTGTAGACTGGAACTGGATATTATCAATGCATTGAATATTTCTTGTTTTCTGTTGTTTTTCATTTAGGCTCTTTGGAAGGAGGGAGAGAACCATGGAAGCTCTGAAGGGCTTTGATATCAACGCTCCACACTGGGATCAATCCACGTTCATGGGCCGTCTCAAACACTTTTTCAACATCACTGACTGTCGCACTGTTCTGCTGCCTGACTCCAGACTAGATGAAGCCAAAGCTTTAGTGGAGAGCTGCAGGTTAGAAATGGATTGATTTGATGAGGTGATCTATCTCTCATCTTCCTGTTTCTTACTTTCTGTCACTTCCTCTCCCCCCCAGAGCTGGCTCTGTTCCTCCTGGCACTACAGAGGAGCAGCTACACTATGCCAAGAAGCTGTATGACTCTGCATTTCATCCTGACACAGGTGACAGCATGAACCTGATAGGGAGAATGTCATTTCAGGTGCCTGGGGGTATGGCCATCACGGGGTTCATGCTTCAGTTTTACAGGTCAGTGCTGGAAATACAATTTTATTATTTCTAATATTTTTATATATTTTTTTATAATTATTTATAATGTATTTATAATATATAATTTTTTATAGCAATATGTACTATATATTTTAACAATTAACAAGTTTTTTTTTTTTGTATGGTCGTGTAGGACAGTTCCTGCTGTGGTGTTATCGCAATGCTGCCTCCCCCATCACACCTAAGTAAGTTCCTGTGACTTCTTTCTTTGAACTTTACTCACTTGCAAGATATTGTAGGTTTTCAGAGAGTATACCTCCTAAAATGTGACTGTCCCGTGATACCTAGCGATTTATTAACAGATGTCTGGGAAGGAGCATGAAATAACAGATAAGCTTCAGTAACAGATATGGGGTTTTTGTTGTATTGTGTGTATCTTCTTTGCTCAGGCAGATTGGAGTAGCTTATGTGACTGCAACAAGCACAGCGCTGGTCACTGCGGTCGGGCTGAACCTCTACACAAAGGTATCACTCAGCCTCATATAAATAATTAAGGGAATACTCTATGTCTACAGACAGGATCTTGGATATGCAGCTGATTACAATAGAACATTTACAAACTGAATATTGAAATATAAATTAGTGTGTAAATAAACCGATATGTATAGTACTTACAGTGGTATTTCAGGATACATTTTAAAATGGTTTACTGTTTTGAAACTACAGCCACAAATATTATTATATAGAAATTATATATTATAATATACATAAAATTACAAATTATATATAATTATATAGAATATCTAATAATAAATTATAATAACTAATAATAAAAACATACAAAACTAATTATATATAATAGACATTAAATAATTCTATAAATATATTTACTTAAAAATTAATTATATATTTACTTGGATGCATATATAATTATTACAGTAGATCTGTATGAAAATTAAAGTTAAAATAAGTCAGTCTTCTCTTTCTTTTTCCGTCCTCGGTTCAGTTTGCCAGTCATATCTGCAGTGGTTATACATCATCCATGTGTTATTTAGCATCTTTAACCTTTGTCTCCTCAGAAAGCTCCTCCACTGGTGGCACGCTGGGTGCCGTTCGCTGCTGTGGCCGCGGCTAACTGTGTGAACATTCCAATGATGAGACAACAGTGAGACCTCTTATGTTTCCTACCAGCTTTTATTTTGGCAGGTCTTACTCAATAGGTTCACATGTCTAGATATTAGTATATTCAGGTTTATTCTTTCTTATACAGGGAGATTTTGAACGGCATTGCTGTGACGGATGAAGATGGAAAAATACTGGGCCACTCAAGGGTGAGGAGCATTTATCTCACCTGATGAAACTAGTTACAGCTCTGCTCTGAAGTTTACATTCTCCTTGCAAAATCTGTAAAATGTGTATCAGTTTAGAAAATGATATCATAAAACATTTTATTCTTTATTTAGTACTGCCCTGAAGAAACTGCTTATATTCCACATGACAAATTAATAACAGAAATTAAACACCTACGTACCGTTAATTTTTACGTTCATTTGATTGTATCTAAGATATCTAGTATTGATATAACAATTTATTGTAATTTACATTTCACATATACCCGAGTATGTAAACTTATGAGCAAAACCATTAGTTTAAATACAGTAGATCTGAATGCGTTTAGTGCTTAAAATAATCAGTTTAAAGATAAGATGCCTTTTTACACTATAAACATTCTCTGTTCTCAAGATATACTGTCTGTGTTTGTCAT